GCGACGCGAGCAAGCGTCCTTACCTCGATATTGCATGGGTGTACACGTAAGTGAAACGAAACTCGACGCGAGGAAAAATTGGTAATTCGACGCGACGTCGCGAAGAAAATCGGTGAAAGGCTAAGAACGCGAGGTCCGTATAGAAGCGCGCTACCAGTTACGTTCGGTACCGCGATCGACGGATCGCGTCGTACGGATCGACGTAAATTGGAGCGGAGATCGTAGCGGAACCTTTCCGTTCTATTTGCCGTACACGCACGCGCGTATATTCGGTACGCGCGAATCCTCGAACCCCGGTTTCGAGGATCGCGCCTCGCGTCGAACGGGATCCTTAGCCTCGTTGCTCGCTCGACGCATCGTCGCGACGCGTTCTCGCGGAAGCCTCCACGAGAGGCTTGTCGTTTCCGACAAGGGTAACTCTCGATCGTGTCGCTCGGCTGACGAAATCTCGTAAGAGCAGGGCTTCGAGCGCGTTTATCTCGGTTATAGCCGGTTTCGTTCGTTCTTCCGTGTAGAAAGTCGCCGCGCAGGAATCGCGAGATTCGACTTGTCGCGTTAACGGTCCATCGCGACTTCCGAGCCGGCTCGCGACTAACGGAGAAACGCCGATGTTCCGTAGGAAACGAACGAGGGATACCGTACCGATGTCATCGGCAGAATGGCCAGGGATCGTTCCGGTTCGGAATATTCGGAGAATATGAGCGACGCCACGAGCTGCAGTTGTACGACGGGTTCCGTCGACGAGGCTAGTAAACACAGAGGGTCGAACGCGCGCGTCGCGGCTTTCTCGGTCGAGAGATTCGCCGTCGTCGTCGGCGTCGTCGAACTCGCGAGATCGACGTACGCGAGACGAATCGGGGTAATCGACGACGTCGAACGATAGGCGAGCTCGAGGATCGAGACGCGAGGTATGCCTCGAGCGAGCGCGAATCACTCTTCCGGAAGAGCGTGCGAGAGGTATGCGAGACGGCGGCGTCCGATAATGGTAGCTGGTGTTGTGCTGGTTTCAGTGCTCGTTGCGCGGTTGCGGCATGTTTCAAGAACCGTTTTTCCTCCATCCGCCCGGCTCTAGACCTCGCGATGGGATCTACATCAATCCGATGAGCGCGTACATCGGCGAGCCGGCCAAACCGAAGGACACGGAATCCTTCTACCTGCACAGTCCCCACGATCTCGTGTATACCAGGATCACGAGGTTGTTCGCCGATACCGACAAGCATCGCCACACGGACAAGAAGGACGATTCTCTGACCGGTAAGTGGCACGCTCGACGCCGTCGCGTCCTCGTCCTCGCCATCCTAGCCACCGCTGCCGCCGCCGTTGCCGCTGTTCCGTTACTCGGTTCGCGCGACTACCGATCCTCGCCGACTACCGTCATTTTTAACGGCACCCGATCTTCTCTACCGGTCGATTGCAGTGAAAGTGGACGTGCACGTGAACGATGCCCTCCTCGACCGGCCGTCCAGCGGAAACGGTTACGCGGTCAAGTCGGATATGGTTCGCGAGTCGACCGAGCACGCGTACGAGCAAATCTGCCTGCGCCAGGAACCAGAAGTCGCCGGCGTAGCCACGCTGGCCCGAAAGAAGGCGGCCGACAACGCATCCGACGGCAGGTACGAGAGCAAACGTTCGATTCGCGACGTCGCTGTCGTCTCTGGCGGCTTTCGACCGATTCTTCGCCACGGACAGCCGCGTCGNNNNGCGAATCTCGCTCGATCTCGCTCAATCTCGCGAAAACGAATTTCAGCCGTTCCCGAAAGCCCGATCGAAGATACAGCAGATCGAGTAGCGCGAGCGAGTCGTCGAACGCGAGCAGCGAGGTTCCCTGCTTCTCGTCCACCGCGTCGACACCCTCGCTGTCGCGAAACAGCAGCAACGAACGAGTCGGCAAGAACGCGTCCACGAGCCACGGTACGTTGCGATTCGGCCGCGATCGATTCGATTCGAAAGGAAATTCTAACGCGGCGACGCGGTCGGTTTTCAGAGAAAAAAGATTCGACGAGTTCGCGAGTAGAAAGCGAAAAGGAGATCAAACCGGTCAGCAACGGAGCTAGGTAAGTAGGCCGAGCGATAAGCGACCGCGACGGAAAACCGAAGAGAGAACCGATCGAACTCGACTACGATCACCTCGCGGATCGAACGAATCGCTCTCTCGATCGATTATCGAGCGGTATCGTGGTCAGAATGCCAACAAAATTCTTTTCCTTCCATCGCGCGCGTTGATCAGTTTCGCGAAGCCACCGCCGCCACCGCCGCCACCTCCACCGCCCGACAAAGAAGACGTCGGTTCGCCAGCAGCGAATGCCAAGCAAGTCGCGGAGACGACCGGCCGAGACGAGAAGAAGGAGATCTGCAACCGCGATGCCAGGACCGAGAGTGGCGTGTTCGCGTTGTCAGGTATAGTCCCCCGAGTCGATTCGCCGGGTCAACGTCATTATACATATACATATATATATATCGTAAACGATATCGGCGATATATCGTTTACGATCGCGAGTACGCCTCGCGAATCGCCTCGACGACCACTTACTAGACCATGCCGCTCATCGGGCATATAATACGCTTACCTGGATTTCACTTGCCCGACCTACTACGATTCCTTCTCCCTACCGCGCTTCTGTTTCGGAACAGCGACCAACAAGTCCGACGTATCCTGCGGCGAGCACCGCCAGCCGGAAGCGCCTCCTGCCAGTCCACCGGCAGACGCCGAAGAAATTAAGGCGAGTCAAACGTCGCATCTGGTGAACAAGCATATGGTGTTGCCGTTCATACCTCCGAAGTTCGCGAACGCGGACTCGAACACCTTGCTCAAGCCGTCCGAGTACCTCAAGAGCATATGCAAAGCTTCCTCGAGAAACAGTCTGTCGAAAGCAAGGTCGGTCGCTCGACGTCGCTTCGCGTCGTAAGTTCTTTCTCGTTCTCGTTACGTTCGAACGTCGACGTTCAAGGCAAACGTTCGCAGGTCGGTGGATAACTTGGACATACAGAGCGGACGAAACGATCGGAGGGAGATTGGCCCCGGATCGGAACGGCAACATCGGCGTGGAGAGGAGCTCGAGCTGGAGGGGGAGGAAGACGAGGAGGAGGACGAGGGGGAGGAAGAAGAAGAAGAGACCGGAGAAGCAGGAAAGGGAGGAAGAAAGAAATCCGCGTCGGGCCCTCCGCCGCC